GATTGGGCTCAGAGGTATTGCACATGTCGCTTCGATTACGGTGGTCTCAACAGGGAGACACCTCGTGTCTGTCTCAGGTTGAACTTAGAGATCATGATTGCACTGATGAATATAAGCACGAGGTCGCTTCGCTTACTAACTGATCGTGAGGAGCCGCCTATGGCCGTCTCAGGTATAAATAATTGCTGCTCTAGCCCCATTCAACGAATACTTGCTCCATGTCGTTCCATTACGGGGTGCCACGCTACGGCCCCTCATCTCCCCTAAAGGGGACCCCCAAGGATGAGGGGCCTGCGCTAACACCACCCCTTCATTGCACTTGATCCCCTCATTTACTTCCTGACGCACTTCGTTTGTCCGGACAGGTGACCTCGCCGGTCGGGCTACTCTACGATGGTCGTTCCCCCGGATCGGGCACGCTACGGATGACCGGGTGGCCTGCGAGTTGCGAACCTTATACCTTACATAACCCCCACCTCCGTGATCAATCCTCACTCGTACCTCGCTCCGGGTTGAGCACTTCGGAGGGGGTTATTCCAGGTAACGGTACGCAAGGCCACCCTCCTTCATCCTGCGCTAACACCCGACCCTCCTCCACTTGATGGTGACCGACTAGTTAAAGGACCTTCGATTTGATTGATTCGTTGACTGATAAATGGGCTTCACGATTGACGTTGATCCGTTGACCTCGGTTTGAGCCCTAAATGAGTGTAATGGCAAGGTCTAGACCTTGGGGTCAGGGGTCATTTCGGATCATTTTGAGGTAAATGGGCCCATTTCAGAGGTCAACTGAGCTCCTGGTCGTTGGGGCCATTTTAATCGCGTGGTCTCCGTATGGGTCATTTTCGGGGTCATAGTGGTCCTGGGGGTCATTTATGGAGTTGAACTCGATGTTGGACTCGTTGATCGGAAGTAGGGACCCCTTTAAATTGGTGCTGACTTGGCTGAGGGGTTTATTGATTATAAATGGCCTAATCGATGCATTTAGGGTTCCACTGCTCGATTCTGGAGGTCGAATCGATTCGAGTCCTTATTTCAATTGGGTCTAATTGAACATCATTTAGGTCATTATTTAGGCCATTTTTAGACCTCCATAGCTTCATTTCTGGATAAATGGCCTAGTTAATTGGGGGACCTCTGGATCCACGATTGGGCTATTTAATCCTGTAAAGGGTCACCTGGAGGACGTGCGATTATAGGGGGTCTGATCCTGAATTGGGCTAAATGACCAAATGAATTGGATTGAATTGAACATGAATTAAATATAATTGCGCGAATCGTAGAGGGGGTGGCGGGAGGACCCTTTTTTTGGGACAGCGAATCGGATTGAGCGAATCGAACATCGATTGGACCATTTATGGGTTGATTTCGGGGTTGAAGGGGTGGGGGGGGGTGAGTGGTTGATCATGAAGGAGGTCTATTGAGGGGTGATCGGATGGGACTTGGTCATTACATTCAGCTTAATGATGGTTATAAATTAGTGCTGCATCGGATTACTTCGGTTGGGTGTTCGTTAGGAGAGGTGTCTTGTTTTAGGGTCGTTGGAGGGTCTACTAAGGGTTACATGGTTATTAGGTGAATCGTTACACATTAGAGCTGCACCGCTGATGGATTGAAGGTTCATTTTCGTAATCACCGTGGAGTTGGGTGAAGGTGTACCCTTGCATTTATTGGCGATTGATGGTTAACAATTATGGCTGCAGGGTTGATTCGGATCGTATAGCCGGTGGGTGTAGTATCCCGTTTAAGGGTCGTGGGGTGGCTCATTCGGAGTGACAGGTGAGTTGGTCGACCCATTTAACAATTCAGGCTGCTCGTGGATAAACTGGAGCCCTACTTTATGGATTGCCGTGGCGGCGTTCGATGGTTCACCTCTGCATTTTTAGGGGGTTCATGATGCATTATTCTTGTACCTTTATGTTGAATCGGATGGATGGCGGTCGATGGGTGACCCCGCGTTATTAGGTGGATTTAAATTACTGTTGCACCGTCTCTTACCACACTGGTTGCCCGATCGCAGGGAGCCAGCTGTGGCTGTCTCAGCAGATTCGTATCAATCAGGGGGCTTCGCAGTGGGAGCACTCATATCTTAGGGTGTGGGTGATTGACCTGAAAAGGAGCCGCCTATGGCCGTCTCATGACCTTAATGCGTTCTACTCCTAGCTCATGACTGGGTCTGCACGGGGTCGTTTCGTTTCGGTGGCACGCTACGTCGAACCGGTGGACCTGCAAGTTGCAAACCTTATATCTACGTACCCCCTCACCTACGTAGCCTCTCCTCAACCTCCTCCCCAAGGGGCCCCCAAGGGAGGTCTGCGGGGATGCTACTCCGGAGAGGGGTTACTCCGATAGCGGTGTGCAAGGTCCACCTCCTTTCGACTGCGCTAACACCACCTGCACTACACTTGATACTGTCCCTCTCAACTGACACTTTAAATCGAGGCTGCGGAGGAAATGCTTGAGGGATACAACCCCACACTGTACAGGGAGCCACGGTCTCCACCTTCTCTAACTCATACACACACTTATATGCTCCAACGGGCCTGCGGTGTGTTTAGGGAGTGCCTCATCTCTCATCACTTAGTACTCGCAAGGGTGCGTTCGGTGGTTGGGGATGGGTGCTCCTGGTGGGGGACGGGTATGCAAGTCCTCGCAAGGGATGCGTAGCGGGGTGGACGGTAACTAGAGCGATAACAGTGGAGTAGGGAGCACGTTGTCTTGAAGGGGCTTAGTGTCTTATCGTCTTGTCCAGCAATGGAGGGAGGGTGAGGGGCTGGGTTCTTGGAGGGGCAACAGCAGGAGGGACTTCTCGGGAGTAGCACCACTTGTACGGGGACGTACAGGATGGATAGTACCGCTTGGTTGACCAAATGGTTGACTGGGTAGGCGCGAAAGAGGGGGACTGAGGGCTGGACGTGAGGTTATCTCAAAGAGCCACCGCAGCTTAGCCCTTAGGGGTGATGCCGTCTGGGGGGTAGGACCTTCGATGACGTTAAACTAAAGCCATCGCAACGGATTCATGCACGTCTGCTCCCCGTCTGAGGGAGAGGTGGCGACGTGAATGGCGGGAGATGGGAGCTGAATCTGCATTGCGGTTCACTGGAGGGCTGGCCCTTTAGGTGCATTCGTGGTCGGTTGGTCTAGCTTGATAGAATGGACATTGCGTTGTTGCCTGGTACTCCTTTATTGGAGTGTTGGGTGGGGCGTGGTGTACGTACTGTTGAGTTGGGCTAGTCGATCGGAGTGTATCGGGGAGGGGAGACCAAGAGTGGGCGGGTGTTGTGGTCAGCGGGGCACTCTTCATACAGGGGGGTGCGGGGCGTGTCGCGGGGAGGGGCGAACGTCAAGTGTGAGGTGTACCTGTTGTTACAGTCGTATCTGAACCACTAACCACCTGACGGGATGGGGTGTGCATTAAGCGATTCACTGTTAAGGACGGGACATTGGCATGCGGAAGTGCGGACAGGCTGCACTGTAGCTGTTTAACAGGCAACACTAGATTACGAACGGGGAGGACCTGAACTCTGGTTTCATCGCATGCCCCTTTGTGGGCTGATGGGTGGGGCTGGACCGGGGGTATGATGATCCGGCGTGGTGGTGGGGCTGGGAGTTAGATGGTGAGCGGTGTGTCGGGCGTACGAGTGCGGGCTTCTGCGGCGTGGGGGGCATCATTGTTCTTGCGGGGTAGTTGTAGCTGGGTGTGTCCTTGTGACCCGAAGGCTGCAGTGATGACGTGAGACATTGGTGCTGTGTTCACGTGCGGTGGGGGTGCTGAATAAAAGGCAACCGCTTGTTGGGGGTGTCGTCTTAACCAGGGTTCATATCCTGGGGGTGGGCGGTACTCACCTCTCCAGTGATGGAGGGGCATATCCTGTCACCTGGTTAGTAAGGGCTGCTGGTAGGGACTCGTAAACCACTCTTGAGGGGGAGTTTAGGGGTCTTTATCGGTAAGTGTGCTTTCTGTGGTTCGGTGGAGTGCGGCGGAACATCATCATGGGGGTGTTCATCTTCTAACTGATAACGTACCCGCTGCGATGACTACTATCCTGAGGTGGATCCCATTCTGCGCGTGCCCCCGTTACAGCCGATCTCAGTAGTCTACAACATCAGAAGTTACATCCGACTGGTCCCACCGAACATGGGGGCAAGGATGGCGGCTGGTGGGCGATGGGGGAGGATAATAAGTGACGGTGTGGAAACAGTACACGGGATGGGGTAGTAGTAGACAAACACAGTCGCAGGGGCAGGGTCGATGCTTGCATGTGTGTTACCCTACGCGTCATCATACGACTCACTATCAACAGAACCATGGACTAGCGGGGTCCTTGTACGCTGGGGGTGTGAGATGGGTCGTATGGTTGGGCAACTGGAGGGAGGTGTACCGCGAGGACCGGTGCACTGGGCGATAAGGGATGACGGACTAAGGGCTACGAACCTCACTAAGCATTTTATCCAGGAAACCACGTCCAGTGGGAGTACAGCTTCTTCGACACGTCCCTGGTATTCTGGGATGATGGGAGAGAAGAGAGTGGTAGGATGGGAGGTGGGGAGTGGTACCTGCTGCCTGACCTAACACCATAAGAGAGCTCGTTTCGTTATCATGTGGGGGTGGATGTTGCTGGATGATAGATACTCTGCTAATGAGCGTCCTCAACTCTTCTGGAACTGACTCCTGGCTGGCCCAGGGTGTTCGGTGCCATCTCTCTTTGGAGGGGTGGTGGTCAGGAAGGTGGAGGGCGGGATGCTACGCAGGGTGTCTCCTTACTAGGGGTGTGGCCGAGAGGTCATAGTCGTCCGAGCGTGGACGTTAAGTGGTCGTTAGTCTCCTAACTACGTCAGAAATGATCGAATCGCTTTGGCGGTGCATAGGGGACGGCTCAGCCTGCGGTGGGAGGCCGTACGGTGGCAGGTAATAAACTGAGCTGGAAGCCCTTTCGGGGAGTGGACAGTAAGGCGAGTGCATCTCGTTAAAGGCAAGGGAGCCAGCTGTGGCTGTCTCAGCACCTAGTGTAATGGTAACATGTCAGGCTCATGACCTGGTGTTGGGGGTTCGATTCCCTCGGTGCGATTGGATAAGAGTCGTGGGTGTCTCATGAGGGGGTTACCTAGTAACTCGTCTGGTTGAGCCAGCTGTGACGCTTGGGCTTTGTTAATAAAAGGGTTATCTCCTGGATTGTGCCGCCTGTGGCCGTCGCAGAGCTCTCACGAGCTTAGATTCATCCGTTGTATGGAGCCAGCTGTGGCTGTCTCGGGTATAGACTAGTGCTGCACTGTTTAGTTATACTAATTCACAGGGTCGTTACGGAGGACTACACTATATTACCCCTTCCCCCGCAAGCGGGGCCCCAAGAAGGGGTTGATTGCGCTAACACTCCTCCTACGTTGCGGTCACTTGTTGGTTCGGTGGAGGTGAAGGAGCTTCGCGTTGGGGGGGGGGGGGGGGTGATTCCTAC